ACCAAAATCACCTTATACTTGATCAAAGAGGCCAGCTGTAGAGTATATATACCACTTTTTAGGGATTTGCTGATGAGTTTTCTTGATTCATTAGCTTGATTCTTGTTGTAACGATGCTACATTGCTCTGATGATGTTCGTCATGACGGACGAAAGCTTGGCACCTTTTCACCGTAATCAAAGGAGATTACCTCGGAAACAGCGTCAGCATGAATCTTCCAGTGAAGTCAATCGATAGCTGATCAAGAGGAATCCATCGTGTTTTTATGGTGGAACCGACCATCGAATCTTTTCACCCAACGCTTTTACTCGAAATGGAAGTGAGCTCAACAATAACTTTCTTTGAAGAGTTGTCGTATGGTGCTAAGAATGGCAAGACTCACTGACGATGCCGGCGAAACGTCTGGGAATGTACCACGTCCACGGTCCGACTTTAGAAATGATCATGCATACAATGGACTCCGGACTAGTTGCATTGCTCTTAGTCTTCCTACCAATATGACCAAGTTGCGAAAACAACTTCAATAGCGTATAAGCCTTGAGATTAGTCTTTAGGGCCAATAATTCCTATAATTAAGCAATTGGTTTCGCGAGTCAGCATTTCAGTTTAAAACGTTTTTACATAATTTTCTGACGAGAGGCCCTATATTGCATAGTATATAGCAACGCCTGTTTCTACCAGATGCGTAATTGATGCATCCATTATTTACAAATTAATTACTCTAGAAGACCATTTGTGTCATAAAAATGAAAGAACGATGTGTCCCTTTTACTATATCTATACGCATTCGTTAAATTTCTAGATATTTTCTCTATGAGTTACATGAGAATTATTAATTTTGTTTGGTGTACCTTGATATATCTAGTAAATTGCTTGAACAAATTGGCCCTAAGAAGTGTTCCCAATCCTAATCAAGAGAATGTACTTTATTTTTCCTTTTAGAGACTGTCTTAAAGGGGTATTTGAGCAAAAAAATGTAAGCACTATTTATTTTAATCTAGTTTTCCTTTATACAGTTATTCGAATACTGTATTTCAATAGATCCTTAATGCTCGCATCTATTTTATCATATCTACTGAGGGTTACTTTATCCCTTTAGGTAATAGACTAAGTAATTTAGTCAGAAAACTGTAAATGTTCTTTAAGGCATTTGACAAGCAATAAATCCATAACTCAAATCAATTACAAGCTATCATAAAAAACTCACCACAAATGGAAAATCCAGTGATAAAGGCAAACTTCGTAGATTAAATTTTCTATGAAACTAATCCAGATGGCTTGTTACGTAGAACAGACACCTCCGGCTTAGTCATAGCAACTTAGTACCTTGTTACATTAGCTCAGCTCAGCAATTTCTGCTAACCGTATGAGGATGATAGACCTTAACACCGTGCAAATATGCGATGAAAGGATATTGTCCAAACACATTTAAGATAACTAAGGGATGAGAACACAGGATACTTCGACCAAAGTGTCTCTAATAAAGTTTTGCTCAAATATCGACACAAGATATCTTCTGATATATTCTTTAATATCTACTTTCTAAGGTAGCTTCCAACGAAATCCTTGTCTACTTTTGTACCTCACCAGGTTCTCTAAGAGCCTTCTTTTATAAAATATTGATTTTATCACTATCGACATTGTCTAATGCGAAAGCTCCTTTGATCAGAAAGTGACCGCAGATTTCTTTAATATGATTAGAGCTCCACAATATTTTTTATTATGATCGGAGCCATTTCGGAGCTTTGATTCGTCAGCATGTGGTTATTTGTCTCAAAGATAATCACTATATATCTTTAAAGAAACTTTCCTCGGTTAGACCATAGTGTCAGTTAATGGGATTTGTACAGCTCAGCGTTTTTTAAAATTCCTTCTTGTCAGTTTTAAAATCTTATTTATTCATTTATTGTTACAATTGTTCATCTCTTTGCAGGGGGAGGGATGTACTCATGCTTTTATTAGAACTCAAGTAGAAGATCCTCTCTCATATTCCCTATGCATAACAGCTTATAGTTGCTCACTATGGACATTATTTGCCCTTCTTTGAAGCAATTAACTAATTTTAGTTACAGACTTCAGAACATCCTATCCAGGTTTCTCTATATCCACCTTATTTTCTATTTTCAAAAAGTTTTCATCTTACAATAAGGAAGCTTTTGTATATCTACTTCTATTAAATATACTCTAAGCCCTAGTTTGGCACTTATGCGTATAGAAGTGGTCCTACCTCATTTTGGCAACTTGGCAGTGTTGTCGGGGCAACTTGGCTGGACGCACCTCGACCGATGTCCTCTCTTTTAATAGTTATGATAATTCCTAATAATGGAACATAGACTTGGTACATTCTCAGATGTTTCGCCGCAATCGTAGTCGGCATTATCACAACTGCTACATCAGAGGACTTCGGACATAGTGCGTCCAACCTGGTCGCTCTGACAACATGACCAAATTGTAAAAACGAGGTTGGACAACTTCTGTGCATCGAAAGGAGACTGTAACCAAAATAGAGGCCACAATATATATATCTTCATATCTACTTATATATATAGTTTTCACTTCTATTATTTTCCTGCTTGCCACTCCGCTACCATTTGATTGCGGTTTTTGTAAACAAGCTGATAATTGAGCATGTTAGGCTTTTTGGCACATATCGCCACTATGTTGCGACAGTGACTCAAACTACAAAAGTGCTCGTTAAATCAAATTCTAGAAAATAGCATTAATCAATTGATTTCAATGATCACTTAGACAACACACATAACTTTGCATTTAGCTGGTGTATTTTAAGGTTTTTAAAAATTTGGATTTTACTTATCATATGGGAAATCAAATTATAACTGCCTAATGTTCCGCAAAAAATAGTTAATCTTGGGCAAATATATGCTAAAAGCCAACTGATTCGCTTTAGCTACAAGACATCATGAAAATGTTTGTACGTACCTTAAAAAGTATTTTGTTTTAATACAGCTCCAGAGAAATAGGTTGCAACTTGATTCTCACGATGGATCCTTCGGGCACTCTGTTATGCCCTTGAGGCAATTTCCAATGCTCCAGGCCTCTGCTGTAGAACAAGCAAGCTTTATAGATCCTGGACCTCACCGACCGGTTCACGAAGTTCGGGGCATTGTTGCTTCTCTGATAAGCAACAATTATGCATTATTTGAAGCTGCTTTCCGGCAGATTGACACACTCAACTCGGGTCGTCTGACTCAAGATCAAATGTATCAGCTGCTGAAACGGTATGAGATAATCAGAAATACTTTTACGAGGACTCCATGCATCGCCTAACTTTGTGGCATATTGTGCTAAAATCT